TTTCAAATAGTTAATTTGATACTAATATCGATATATTTTTGTCAAATTTTTATGATATCTTCAAACATATATTTTATTCAAAAATAAAAACATCATCGATTTATCAAAATCACATATAGCCATATTATAACATCGACTGAGATAAAGAATAAAATGAAATATTAAAATCACGATGTATCTCGCTGCATTGCCCGAGTACGCTTCTAGTATATATATATATTAAAAGTTACCGGTTTATACTTTTGTAATTTACGCCAAAATAGTCAACGACGGATATCGTTCACATGATAACTTTGATACACACATCCTTCAAATATACGTAGAACATAAACATAATAAGCATTTTATGAAAACCAAGAATTATACCAAATATCTACAACCAAAAGTAAATCTTTTTGTCAATTTATAGACTTTACAAGAACAAGGAAACCGTCTTGCACGTTAATCTCCATTGAAGAAAACGACCGGCAATAATGATGGAGGAGAGATGGTGGGAAAGTGGGGGATTACAGTTATCGTTAGATCAGTAGAATTTTATAACGTGACAACTTTAACAAGTTGTACCTAATTAAACTTTATTCTAATGCCTTCTATGTAGCCTAAATTACTTGTATTTCTGCATTATTTTGTTGTAGTTAAACCAACTGTTAAATGTTTTATATACAGTAGATTTGAGATAAAACCATTTTCATAGACAGACTATGAGTCATTGGACGGGTTTTTTTATCTCACCAAACTTTCACAACAAAACATTAGACCTTCATACTAAAAGACTGATGCATCTTTACACGGGGAAGAAAAACTCAACGTTCACATAGAAAAAAAAAAGTGAACGCACACAAACAAACATGAAAACATAACAAAGATTCACAAGAATAACCCAAGAAACCTTCACGAGAAGCACATACCATGCCTTTACGGGAAACACCTTCAAAGTATGTTATCTGAACCTTAATAGCGTGTCTCATGGTCTTACAAACAGTGGTTGGTATCACGAGAATGGAGAACGAGAATCCAAGCCATATATAGTAATAACGGGGCCTCATGAGCATAAAAACTCAAAAGTTCATGAAAAACAAAAATAAATAATTTTGCGGATTAAAATCTGAACTATCAATATTATGTAGGAATTATGGGTGCTCAAAAACCCGACCAATCAGATCAACCCAACCAAACTAATGCGAAATAACTTAACTTGAAGCGACCCTATGTCTAATCGAGTTATAAAATTTTCAAACTGTAGGTATTGAGTTGATATTGAGTTACTATTATTTGAACCCAATCTGATGAACTTGATATCCTTTTATTTAATATAGTTGTTGAATTTCTATCAATATATACATTAGACAATTACACTATCACGTACACTCTTCATATACACATATTTTCAATCTATTCACATCTTTATATAACTCATTCGTATATGTGTTCAGTAACTGTTAACATATTATGTAGATTGAGAAAATTAACTGAATGTGATATACATAAGAAGTATCGATAAGTTGTATCAAATGATTGGTAATGAAAATAAATAAATTATGAGTAGAAAAATAACATATTCAAAGTTAGAATAATATTTTAATGTACCAAAGTATCAACCCGACCAACCTATACGGTTTGGGTTGGGTTGAGTTGCACTTTGGTTTGAGTTGGGTTGTATTAAAAAATTTCAAATCACAAGCATTGAATTAAGTTACCCAAATATCTTCAACTCGATCAACCCAACATATAAACACCCCTAATAATAACTATAAATAGCCAAAAAAAAATTTAATAGAAAATATTATATTCATTTTACTGTTTTTCTCGAGTGCATGCCACAAGAAGAAAGGACAACTGTCAAATAATTAATATTTTGTATCCATTAATTTTAAAGATTCAAATTCCAATAATTTAATGGTTTTTTTCTGCATTTTTTTCCTCTATAATTAAAATATATTACTTTTAAAATCCAATTTTCGATCGAGTTGCTAGTTTTTTAATTGAAATATTTTATGAATTTTTTAATATTATATTAATTTTAAATCTAATAACTATCATGTTTGATTTTTAAAATAAGTAGTGATAGTAATAATCTGTTTTCATTCGCATATAACCCTAAAATCACATATAAAATTACTTATGATTTACGCGACCTATTACAATAAAATTGGGTTTATAAGACACTCCTAATTTTTAAGTGTTCTAATAGATCCTTTTATATGATTTAATTTATAGGATTAAAAAAATAAAATGTTTTATCTAAAGGCGTTGTAATAAGTTTATATGACGTTTTTTGACGTCGTAACAAGTTTTTTATGACACTTTTAATATAAAGCGTCTCATTTGCAACTTTATAGAACACTATTTGAAAAAATGTTCTATAAAAACAAGTGTTCTATAAAAAAAATGAGTTTATAGGACACTTTCTCCAAAGTATCCTATAAAGTTGCTAATGCGACACTTTGTATTAAAAATGTTCTAAAATTTTTGTTATGACGTCCAGAAACGTCATATAAACTTATTACAACACCTTTAGATAGAACGCTTTATATTTTAGTCCTATAAAACAGTCTATTGGGATGCTTAGAAATTGAGGGTGTCTTATAAACTCAATTTTGTTATAGTGACCGTTCTAACAGAAAACTGGATATCAAGGACCCATAATTTGCTACGGCCGATACAGCACTGTTGCCTTTGTTCTTTGTAGTGTAAGCATGTAAGGTTGCATGTCATATCGCCCGCACACCTTTACGCTGACTGTTAGTATAAAATCACTTGTGATATTGTATGTGATTTGCCCAGTTTCGTGTTATTTTATTTAGTTATTCTTCTCGTTTGAACATTCTCCTCTCTCTCTCTCTCTCTCTATATATATATATATATATATATATATATATGTGTGTGTGTGTTTTCTCTTTTGAATTGGATTCATATCAGACCAGAATATATAATCTCTCCCTCTCTCTATATATATATTTGCATATATATATATATATATATATATATAGTCCCTCTCTCTCTAGATCTATGTGAAAGAATAGGAGTGTAAAACTTAGTTGTTAAAACGGTGAGTTGAAGTCTTAAAATGAAGGTAGAGCAATTAAGGTTGGCATGACTTGCACTGGAATGGCCTTCTTCCCTACCAATTTCATGCTACAAGCTTCTCATCATGATGAAGATGACCATCATACCCCCCATTCTCTTTCTCCACTTCTCCCACCTTGCACCACTACTCACGACTTCCATGGTAATTTACTCACCTTACCTACATCCATCTCTCTTTCAATTTCTCTACTACTTCAACAGCATTCATATTATAGCAAACGACCATCTCAAGAATCATGAACCTCATGCATCAATGACTTGTATTGTACAACTCAGTGATGCATATTGGCTACCAATGTTCTGATGGCACCATCAAAATGGGTTCTTGAAAACGTTTGAATCTTTACATTTGATCATCACCACCAACCTCTAAGCATTTTCACCAGCTCTACTGTCATGCTAGCTACTGTAAAGAACTGCTTCAAGAATCTTGATGCACTCACCATCAAATTTACATATTTACATGCATTCACAAGTCATCCACACTCCCTTGGTATCCCCCCTACTTCAAGAGCATTGGTAATAAGGCTTCAAAACCTTCAAGCTGATGCATTGATGAGTTGTACAGTACAACCCATCAGAGCACAATCAAATGGGTTTTTGACAAAGTTGAAGTTTTAGCCTTTCACCATCTTGAATTCTTGATCTGTAAAGAGTACCAGTTGAACATCACGTATCATTGATGTATTAGGGCACAAATTAATTGAACATATATGGCACCATCCAAATGGGTTTTTGATACTTCTTTTTGTGATCTCATAATTAAGTGACTTGAACCCTTTGCTTCGATGAGTTGTACATCTATACATACTATACAACTCATCGATGCATCAGAGTAGAAGCGTTTTCCTAAATCATGGCACCATCCAAATGGGTTTTTGACAATCTTTACATATATATATATATATACACACAACCATCTTGATAGCAAATGGTGCATCATGTGTAGGGTCATTCTTAGGGAAAAGATCAATGCGGTTCGCGGGTACGGAAGTATGCGATGACGAAACCAACAATAATATCCATGGGGAAGATGAATTATCAGATGATGGATTAGTTGGAGGTGAAAAGAAGAGAAGGTTAAAGATGGAACAGGTGAAGACACTTGAAAGGAACTTTGAGTTGGGGAATAAACTTGATCCAGAAAGAAAAATGCAGCTTGCAAAGGCACTTGGACTTCAACCAAGACAGATTGCCATTTGGTTTCAAAACAGAAGGGCAAGATGGAAGACCAAACAGTTGGAAAAAGACTATGATGTCCTCAAGAAACAGTTTGATGCTATCAAAGCCCAAAATGATTCACTCCTATCTCAAAATCTTAAACTTCATGCTCAGGTATCTATTCATATTCTCTTCAAAATTCTTCATATATATATATATATATGAAAGATAATCAAAGTACAACCACAAATATGTTATGAATTTGTGAGAATGGATATAAAAGTATTTGTTTACATCATCTTTTTCATCAAAACTTATGATTTAAGATATTGTTTCACATATGTTTGTGTTCACCTTGTAAAAAGGTTACGTGCAAAATAAAATTGGTTCACCTAGTGAAATGAAAAAAATACATGTAAAAAATATTCATATGGTGAAACAAATATATGTGAAGCAATATTTTAAATCCTAACATTTGATGAAAAAATATCATGTAAAAAATATTTTTATATTGGTTCTCACAGGTTTGTAACATACTTGTGTTCTCATTTTATTTAACCACTATATATATGTATGTGTATATATATATATATATATATATATAGAGAGAGAGAGAGAGAGAGAGAGAGAGACTTGGGATCATGTAGGACCATACTGTTTTCTATGAGACCCTTGAGACCACGTAAAATACGATGAACTTTCAGAGTAAAAACACTGTGAAGGTAGACTATGAAGGTTTACCTTTACAATGTTTCTGTTGTGAAGGTTTGATGTTTTTCGTACTCTCACAATGGATTACCGTGAAGTTTCAGTTTTATTTTGTGGTCTCACGAAAACAAGTTGGTTTTACGTGAACCCAATTATATACATATGCAGACTCGATATGTTGATCAATACAAATAGAAATTGGTTTTATAGGACGTCAAATGTAAATAAATGTTCTAATAAACACTTTTATATATACATTGGACCAAACAATTGTGTGTCTTATGTATGTAAAATCGCTACAATAAGTTGAAAGGATATTTTTGGACATACTAACAAATTTCTATGACACTTTTGAAATTCTATATTAGTTTTTCTATCAGATATTATTTAGAAAATGTCTTAAATGTGTTTATAAGACATTTATCGAAAATGTCATATAAGAAAACTAATAAATATGATACTTTGTTTTTAAAATGTCGAAAAAACTTGTTACGACATCCAAAATTGGTTTGGTTTTATTTATTCAAGTCCTATAAAACAATCTATTAGAACATCTAAGTATATATATTTGACGTCCCGATTTCGTTGAAGTGAATTACTCGTATCAAGATTTTTTTCTTTTAACTTTCTGTAATGTTATCAAAGTTGGGTTAATTTGTTCGAATAATTAGAATTCGAACAAGAAAATCTTTAAATTTTAATTTTAATTTTTATTATTTTTTCTTGTTAAACGTATAGCACCATGTCGACCTTTGGTAAGAAAAAAAAAATTAAACCAAAGTGTCGAGAAATATTCCGTTTGTTGCAACCGAACTAAAAATCCTTTCTTTTTATGCAAAAAAAAAAATTCCATTTCAAAATCAATTATTTTACAGAAATTCAATCAATAAATTTACAGATAATGACATTAAAGAACAAGGATCCAATGGAATCAATCAATCTGAACATCAAAGAAACAGAAGGATCTTGCAGCAACAGAAGTGAAAACAGTTCCGAGATCAAACTAGATATCTCAACAACACATGCACCTATTGACAGCCCGTTATCATCACATCATAATCATCAACAGCCGATCCCTAATCTTTTCCCATCTGCCAATGTTGATCATAGATCTCATCATCATCATCATCATCATGATCAGATTTTCCAGAATTCATCGTCAAGATTATTGGTAGATCATCATCATCATCATCTTCTTCACGGAAGAAAAGCTGATCAATCGGTAGCCGTTAAAGAAGAAAGCTTATGCAATATGTTTGTGGGTATCGAAGATCAATCAGGGTTTTGGCCATGGTTAGAACAACCACAATTCAACTGAATTTAAATAAAAACTAGTTTGATTGATTTGATTTCTTGTTGGAATTTGTTTATCAGGTTTAAAATTCTTGCTTTGATTCTTGAATTAACGGTGTATAAATTAGATGGGAAAAAATATATTTTTATTCTTTTTATGGTTTTAAAATTCAAGATTGGTTTTTTTCAAAATCCTTTGTTCAAGTAAATAAATAGTTGGATGGATGATATATGCATATTTTCTATTTAAGATATCAATTTAAAATATATATAAAATTATAAATTTTTTGGATATTTTATCCAGATAAATTACCATAAATCAGATTACATTAGACTATTTAAACTGAAGAAAAGAAGGGATTTAATGACTGGATCTTGACCAAGCAGATACTTAACTTTCTTTCGCGCTTCTTTTAATTCGTCAGCAAATGAACATGAATATGATTGATTCTAGTTATGAATCTCTCAAGTTAACGGTCTACAGAACCTTCAATGGTTTTGACAGGATTCAAATTGGTGATCAATGATATGCAAATTGAAAGTCTAACCAGTTGAACTGCTTCCAAAAGGTAAATACGGGTTCTTGAGCATTAGAAAAACATCTGTGCGTATTTTTTTGACAAACGGGATGTGTACGGTTAATAATCAAATAGAACATGATGACCCAAAAGTCATTAGATTCTTGTTCATTGAACATAGATATGTCCTACATCGTTGAACTTAAATACAACTTAAACCATACTCATACCAAATTGAATATCGAAACCTACCCGCAGTACTAAAAAATGACATACCCTTGTAACTGTTTGACACAATCTTACTGATCAAAATCTCAGTTAAAAAACATCAAAAGTTATCATATGCATAATTAGTTTAACTAGAGGCACAACAGAACGCCATTTAAATTGATAAGTTGATATCACGACAAGGACAGTTGGATCAGAATCGAGTTATATTGATTAAAGTATGTTTAATTCTATGACAACCAATTAACATTTTGAAAAATATGATTTTAAATTCAAGATCTGATACGGTACTGGTAAATGTAAACAAGATGTGTGTGTGTGTGTGTGTGTGTGTGTGAAAGTGATCGCAGAGTAGGGTACGAAGCATTTATTTCAACCGAGGAAGAAGACAAAGAAGAAGAAAACAAGGTAGAGTTGGAAACGGTCACTTTCTTGAATTAGACATTTGGCAAGTGACATTTTTTTTACATCAAATATGGGGTTCTCTTTCCTTCTTTCTTTCTTTTTATGATGTCACTTTGTCCCGCTCGAAATCAACATTTATACGTGATATTTAATGAAAACAGTACTTTTACAGTGCTATAACAGCTACATTTTGAACAGTTTTACTCAATATATTGGAGACTTCTTCTTAATCTCGATAACTCTTTTGAAAAGTAATCTAATGAGGTTTCATATTTTTCTTACATGGTATCATAGTCAAGGTCTACTACTCGTTTATATCCCTCTCGACGCTTAGTCATCATGTCATATCTCACGTCATTTAGAACCTTGGTGAAATCAGAAAGTAACAATATTAGTAGGTGGTTTACACAGTTTGTAGTTATGGCAAATTGCATGAAAAAGTAACGTACTTTAACTTGATTCCTAATTTGGGTAACGTACTTTCAAAACTTCCATTTTGGTACCTAAGGTATAAAGTTTTAAACGTTGAAGCATTAACTGGTTACTATGTTGATGTAATGAGATGAAATTGGGTTGAATAACAAATAATACTGAATTGGATACCACATCACTCGTCACATCAGCATGGTAAGCGGTTAATGCTTCAACCGTTTACCCGGATATTTAAATGTTCAAAACTTTACATCTTGCATACCAAAATGGAAGTTTTAAAAGCATGTAACCTAAAATATGAATCAAATTAAATTACGTTACCTTTTCATACAATTTATCAATCATAGTTAATACTATTTAGACGTTCTATAAAAGAATAAAACTCTTATTTTATATTTCTTTAAAAATTAAATAATTATATGAAAAATAACAACTACACAATTTAATAATAAAAAATAAAATAAAAAATAAAATTATAGGACAAAAAGACAAAGAAAATAATGAATTGGGGCATGCATTGCTTCACTTGGAAGAAATTTATTATTTCAAACTATTTATCATTTATTATTGATATATAAATCCAAAACCATTTCCTTTTTTCTTTATGTGTCTTTGTCATATTATTTATCAATATTTTGGAATTTATAAATTATATTAATCTATTTTTTTAATTGTTTTGAAAACCAGTATATCATGTGATATTTTATATGATTTTTTTGTTTGTGACTAGAATTTAATACGGTGATTAACATATATTTGTTTCATAATGTGAACATTTTTGTCGTGTTTGTGAACCAAAAAATACATATAAAAAATTTCATGTAATGAATTGAATACGTATGAAATAAATATATATTAATCGATCATTAAATACGATATTTAAATTAAAAAAAATCATGTGAAACAAAACTTTAAGGTAGAAGTTCACTGATCTCACAAATTTTGAAATTCTCAAATTATTAAACTCCATAAGAACTCAACTGAGGGACCGTTTACCTAAATGTTTACCCAGTAAGCACTTACCGTTAAGAGTCAACAGTATAATTAATTTTATTGGGTAAGATTGTACATTAAAATGGTAGAGTATTCAACAATTTACCCAGTAAGCATTTGCCCGAGTAAAAGTCGTCACCATCACTTACCGAGTAAGACTCTCCATCTTTATCATTGCTTTTACCGGGTAAGATTTTCGACCCTTGTCATGTTCATCAGATAAGGAAAATTACTTGATAAACACTTACCAGATAAGCTTTTAGTAAACGACCTCTTAAATATTCCCTTCTCTTAATATTTGAAAAACGAACGAAACTTTTTTAAAATAAATAATTTATTAATCAATATATAAATTTAAAATTAAATTTAATACTTTAAATTACCTGATATCTTTATTTCGATTTCTCAATATTAAAATTCATTTTAAAATTGAAAATTAAACTAAAAAATCACATATGTTTCTATGAATATCATATAAATATTTGTAAATATAATATAAATATTTTTAAGGAATATAAAATTAATTAAGTCTCATATGCCATCAATATTTTATTAACTGAAATATTATTTTTATATCTATTTTTAAATAACTTTAAAAAATAATCATTTGGCCAATCTGTCACAAATATAAGATTCAGGACCCTTTATAGATTTCACATATTTAAAATATATAAACTTCATTTTATTAATTTTGTTATTTAAATATTCAAATTTAACATTTTTTTAGTAGGTCAGATATTCACAGTCTCTTTAAACAATATAAAATTGTAATTCGAGTTTTTTATATACTCAAAATTGTAGGATACCATTAAGTTTCATCATGATTTTAAGTTGAATATGAAGTTATTAAACCGTTATGTTGTCTTACGTTGGATTGTTAATATTTGTTCTACCATCCAGATGGTATAAGTATCGGCTCTGATACTATTTGTAACACCCAGAAAACAAAAAATAACATGTCGACCCACTAACTTCAAATTCTACTTATCTGTTCATGTTGAACAGGTAACTACAGATACTAATTGATCAACCAGCTAGAGACAAGATTTTACGTGTGTGGATATTTGTTCTTGAAAATGTGATATCTGACGTTTGACTCATTAAGTCGACAGGATGAAGGTTTACTATCATATATTATTTTATCATACAAAAGTTAAATATAAAATTATTGTTATACAGTTGAGTTTCATTAAAACCGTCTACTGTCTCTTAATGATTCTAAAACCTTTTAAATGATTTTGTATCATGAGTCTTCCTTAACCATTCAACGCCATACTTTCGTTGTAAATAATTATCAAACAATTATATCATAAGAGTCACTTAATCATCTTGACCACTTAATCATTCAGTAACCGTCAAACAACCCCTTAGCATTATCTAATTCATGAAATTAAATAATGTATTTATGTTTTAAAATTTAATTTAGAGGTAAATACTTACAATTTGCATGTGACAAAATCTTGTTCCAAATCCAACCTTGTCTATAATTTTCAAATGCAAAATTAAATAAAGATGAAGCTTGTAAATGGTGATTATTTTATTTATTTTTAAAGTTTTTATTCTTCTTGGATCATGCCTTTTTTTATTTTTTTTAATGGATATTAAATTAATTTAAGTACACATAAATAATTTATAAGAAAAAGGGTTAAGTAGAGACTGTTTAGTGGCCACGTGTGTTGCATGTGGTGTGCAAGACAACAACTCTAATTTAATTTTGGAAAAATGTCAAACATTTTTTAAATATTATTAGATGAATTTTTAAATGATATTAATATTAATAATTGAATTATATCTCTCATAATTTTTTTATTTTTTTTATTTTTTATGGAGCATTACTTAAATTATATCTGAAGTAATATATATTGTAACAACTTTTAGGATACCAAAAAAAAGAAACATATCTGATATAATTCAATCGTCCACTAATGTCGGATTTTGTTATCTGATCAAATCCAACTAACATCTGGAAACTGGTCCGATTTAATACAGTGGATGATTGGATCTTTTTAATCATATCTATAGGATATTATTGATGGTTATTTATTAAATTGAAATGGATTCATCCAATATTTTGATCTAATTATCAATCAGATATTTTAACCAAGTATACCCCACATAAATATTAATTAGTATTGTAAAATAATATTAATTAGATGGATAATTGAATGGTAATTGGATTAGATAAGTTCAGTTTCACTGGATTTTGAACTGTTATCTAATAACCGATCGATCCAATATGAATGTTGAAATTTTGGATCTGATCTCATCCAACTAGGGGTGCTTAAAATATTGACCAACCCGACCAACCCAACCAAAAAATCTTAAAAAAACTCAACCTGAGATAACTCTATCTGATTATGTTTATTTACAGGTAGTTACACGAATTCAAATTTGAAGCTTTAATAAGTTGTATTTACACATAATTTACTTGTAATATTGAATTTTAATTAATATGTATCAATAAACAGTACTTCATGCATAAAAATGGTTTTTTAAGTGTTTTATCAAATACTTTATAATACAATATAG